ATGCTCAAATTATTGGATTTGCTCATATTATTTAATTTAGTAAATTGTTAAATGTGCATTATTAATAAGATTAAGATGTTGATAATTTTAGTATTGTGGATTAAATTAATGACATTAACGTATTGTGCATGTTTATAGTTTAATAATATTAATTATTGGACGTTAGTTAATTTTAAGGGGATTTTAGTGAATTTTAGTTAATTTCAGTGAAATTTTTGGCAATTAGTTAATTTTAAGGGAATTAGTTAATTAATTTTAAGGGAATATTAGGGAATTAGTTAATTTTAAGTGAATTTTAGTGAATTTTAGTGAAATTTAAGGAAACTAGTTAATTTTAAGGGAATTTTAGGGAATTAGTTAATTTTAAGTGAATTTTAGTGAAATTTAAGGAAACTAGTTAATTTTAAGGGAATTTTAGGGAATTAGTTAATTTTAAGGGAATTTTAGTGAAATTTAAGGAAATTAGTTAATTTTAAGGGAATTAGTTAATTTTAAGGGAATTTTAGGGAATTAGTTAATTTTAAGGAAATTTTAGTTAAATTTAGTGAAATTTAAGGGAATTAGTTAATTTTAAGGGAATTTTAGTGAATTTTAGTGAAATTTAAGGAAACTAGTTAATTTTAAGGGAATTAGTTAATTTTAAGGGAATTTTAGGGAAAAAGTTAATTTTAAGGGAAGTTTAGGGAAATTTAGTGAAATTTAAGGAAATTAGTTAATTTTAAGGGAATTAGTTAATTTTAAGGGAATTTTAGGGAATTAGTTAATTTTAAGGAAATTTTAGTGAAATTTAAGGGAATTAGTTAATTTTAGGGAATTAGTTAATTTTAAGGTAATTTTAGTGAATTTTAGTGAAATTTAAGGAAACTAGTTAATTTTAAGGGAATTAGTTAATTTTAAGGGAAGTTTAGGGAATTAGTTAATTTTAAGGGAATTTTAGGGAAATTTAGTGAAATTTAAGGAAATTAGTTAATTTTAAGGGAATTTTAGGGAATTAGTTAATTTTAAGGAAATTTTAGTGAAATTTAGTGAAATTTAAGGGAATTAGTTAATTTTAGGGAATTAGTTAATTTTAAGGGAATTTTAGTGAATTTTAGTGAAATTTAAGTAAACTAGTTAATTTTAAGGGAATTAGTTAATTTTAAGGGAATTAGTTAATTTTAAGGGAATTTTAGGGAATTAGTTAATTTTAATATATTAATAATACTCCACATATAATATGTTGGTAATGTTTATAATTTAGAGTTTTTAACCTGTATAAATTTTTTATTATAATATTCAGGCATAATGTATAGACAAAATAGAATTTGGATGTATGATAAACATGCGGTATTGTACGGAATGCAATCAAATTTTCTTGAAGGAGTTGAAGAGTTTATTAAATTCGTACTTGAACACCCGACTTATATGAGTGGTGATAAAATCAGATGTCCATGTTCAAAGTGTAAAAATCTCAAATTTAAACACCCAGACGAAGTTGGGTGGGATTTGTACGCGGACGGTTTCCTTCCCAATTATTACAATTGGACTTCTCATGGCGAACCTTTGGATCCATCTGTTTTACCACAAACGGTAGGTTCGTCTCGTAACGTCCCTGCAGAGATGAGTGTGTGGGGAGACCCTGCTGAAATGAGATGGGAGCAACGTATGGTATATGACGCATACGGTGCATTGATGTCTCAGTTCAACCCCCCACAACCATCTAACGATCCTCCTGAAGCTTCGACCTCGTATCAACCACATGAGGATGAAAATCCGATATTTTATGAACCTTATGTGGATGAAGGTTTAGCTGAAAGATTTCAAGATGTTTTAAAAGCAGCTGATCAACCCTTGTATGCTGATTGTGAGGGATACTCTCAGCTATCCGCCGTTACAGAGTTTATGAACATAAAAGCTGAATACAGTCTCCCTGAAACTTGCATGACTAGAGTCTTGCAGTCAGTAGGCGGGATGCTACCACGTGGTCATAACCTTCCGGATTCATATTATCACATGAAACAATTAATGTCTAAGTTGGGGCTACCTTATATAGAAATTGATGCGTGCCCGGGAGGATGTATGTTGTTCTGGAAGGATGATGAGGCACTTGAATTCTGCAAGTTCTGTGGTGGAAACAGATACAAACCTGTTCCTCAAAGTAGAAAGAAACCACGAAATGTCTCACCCTTCGGACTGTGAAGCTTGGAGACACTTTGACCGTTGTCATCCTCAGTTTGCAATGGAGCCACGAAATGTGCGACTGAAATTGTGTTCAGACGGATTTGCTCCATTTGGAAGGTTTGGGAAGAACTATTCATGTTGGCCGGTCATGTTAACTCCTTACAATCTCCCTCCCGACATGTGCATGAAAAGTCACTTTATCTTTTTGACTCTAATCTGTCCGGGTCCCAATGATCCAGGGAAAAAATAGACATTTATCTCCAACCCCTTATCGAGGAGATGAAAGAACTTTGGGCCATTGGGACACCAACATATGATGTTTCAAGGGATCAAAATTTCATAATGAAAGCTGCCATCATTTGGACCATTAGTGACTTCCCTGCCTATGGCATGCTTTTGGGATGAAGCACACATGGTCTTATGGGATGTCCGATATGCATGGAGAAATCAGGTGCCAATTGGCTAACTTTCAGTAAAAACCCAAGCTACTTTGATTGTCACCGCAAGTTTCTCCCGGAAAACCACCGATATCGAAGGGACAAAAAGTCTTTCATTAGAGGTAGAGTGGTACGAGACACCCCGCCCCCGAGATTGACCGGGGAAGCAATTTTTAACCGGGTTCGACGTATTCCTACGGTTATGCAAGAACCATATAAGAAGCCATATGGGTTTTGTGATACCCATAAGTGGACAAAGAGGAGTATCTTTTGGGAGTTACCATATTGGAAAGACCTTCTCATTCGTCACAATATAGATGGCATGCACACTGAGAAGAACGTGTTTGACAATATATTTAACACAGTGATGGATTTCAAAGGCAAAACTAAAGACGGTCTTGCATCTCGAAAAGATATGACTATTTGGTGTGATAGGCCCGAACTATATGTTGATCTAGAATATCAGGGCAACAATATTCCAAAAGCAGTCTACCAAGTCACACAAGCACAAAAAGAATCAATATTATAATGGCTTGTGTCTCTGAAGTTTCCAGATGGCTACTGCTCCAACTTGTCCAGATGCGTGGACATGGGCAAACTTGCAACGACGTCGAGCATGAAAACTCACGATTGTCATGTAATCATGCAAAGACTTCTCCCAATTGCACTGAAAGAGATGCTTCCTGAACACGTATGGTCCTGCATTACTGAGATCAGTTTGTTGTTTCAGTCGATATGCTCAAGCGTTTTGGATGCAGCATCCCTCCGTAGACTAGAAGAGTCTGTTCCCATGCTGATGTGTAATTTGGAAAAAATAACGCCTCCATCGTTTTTCGATGGAATGGAACATCTTGTAATACATCTTCCGTATGAGGCTTTAAATGGTGGACCCGTCTTCTATCGCTGGATGTACAGATTTGAAAGGTTAGTCACAATTTCATTTATCTTTGAATATTTATTTCATAACAACATTAATCTGTGTACCACTTTTATTTTACTTTGCAGATTTCTTGGAGAGTTGAAAAAGAAAGTGACCAACAAGGCACACGTTGAGGCTTCAATTTGTCAAGCATATCTTCAACAAGAAATCTCAACGTTCTCATCTTTTTATTTTGAGCGTGAAGTCATCACTAGAAGAAAGAGACGTGCCCAAAACGATGACATTGGCGAGGATTTATATGACATTGGGAAAAGAATTACAAATTGCGCATACTTATATGCTCATTAATTGTCCAGAAATCTTACCGTTTTATCAATAAGTTAAATTTGTAGTTATCTTTGTAATATATATACAATTAAGGTAATTGATTTATAATATTTTCATGTTTGACTTCACAGTGAATTTAGAGCGGAGTACTCAGCATTCCCTGACAATGAAATTGATGCATTGGTGGACTCTCATTTTATATCGTGGTACAAGCATCAGGTATATATACATACACACATTAATTATATATATTATTAAGTAATAATATTTAATAATTACCCAATGTTATCGTGTTTTAATTTACAGATCAATAACCGTGGGATTGTGGAACCTTTGTTAATATCATTATCGTGGGGCCCTGGTGCCTACGCCAAAGTTTGGCGGTCATATGTGATAAACGGTTACACCTATCACACAGTCGGTTACGGACAGGGCCGACCAACAGTGAACAACGGGTTATGTATCCCAACAATCGGTTATGATAACTCGGAAACCAATTTTTTTGGTGTCTTGCACGAGATTCTCGAACTGGAAATGCCTTCTGCTGGGAAAAAGTTGACATGCGTTTTGTTCCGCTGCAAATGGATTGATCCAACACGTGGTGTGCGAAAAAATTCAAAGTATAATATGATTGACGTCAACCACTCTCGCGTGTATACGAAAAATGAGCCTTTTATACTTGTTCAACAAGCAGCCCAGATTTATTATACAGAATACCCTTCAACCAGGCGGACACAGAATCCTTGGGTGTGTGCATGTACTGTCCGTCCGAGCAAAATTGTATCACAAACTCAACACAAGGACGTTGATTTAGATGCTTTTCAGCAACATTTTTTCCAACCTCCACCGATTGTTGAGACGGTCAACCAGCACATTCAGCTAAGTGATCCAAATGGGGGAAGTGTTGAAGTCATGCCAGAAACACACCTTCCGGACCTAACAATTCCATCTGAGCGCGAAATTGTTGAAATGCATGAAGAACAACAAAATGCTCATTATCAGGAAGAAGGAGAATGGATAGACGGTTCTGATACAGAAGAAGATGTTGTATATGTAGAAAATAATGACTCTGATAGTGACTAATTGTATTGTTGTATTACAATTTTTTTGAGTTCGAATATTTGTGCTCTTTTCTTCATTATTATTGAAGTCCAACAATATTTGATTTTTTTCTTCATCATTATTACTCCGTAAAAGATAAGTACGAAACGCACAATTTTTTTTATCATAATCAACTAACAAAACATTAATCATTTATCATAATAACCAAACAAACAAATACAAAATTATTCATCAATATCAAAACTTTCAAGAGGTCTAGCCAACAACTCGTTAATTTTCCTTTCAGCTTCTTCGTTGATCGGATCCATATACCCCGAACATTCTTCTGCACGTTGAAGCATCCGACACAAGTTGTTTGCTTTTGACTTGCCGAGTGAGTCGGATTCCTCATCTTTATAGTCGCCAAAACTTTCAAGGGGTCTAGCCATCAACTCCGTGATTCTCTGGTATGCTTCAACGGTTTTCGGCTCCATAAGCTGTGTAATTAGCTTGAGTCGTTTCATAGCTCTGCACATCGAATCCCAGTCAATTGGTTCTCGATTAGCCATTTTTTCACAAACATTGGACCGGGCATCATCTATTTATACTCAAAAATCGAATATAATAAAGTGGAATTTATTCCACTGTCGTCTGATGCCGGACTGGGCGAGGTGAACGGATGGAAAGTAATTAGTCACGAACGGGTCCGTGACTAGATTCGTGAATAATTCAAAAATCGGACAGGTCCGTGACTAAGGCGGTCAAAGGCGGCCCTGACACCTCGTCTGCCGCGCGTCTGACTTCGTTATTTACGACGGCTAGTCACGGATAAATCTGTGACTACGTTCGTGACTACTCCTTCATATAAAAGCAACACTTAGCTGATTTTTCATTCCGCATCCTCTCCAACCCAAAACCCTACCTCTTTCTCCCTAACTCTTCTACACTCCACCGATCTCAACCTCCAACTCCGCCTTCAACCGTTCGCTGCCGCCATTCGCAGCCGCCGTTCGCTGCCGCCGTTCGCTGCCGCCGTTCGCCGCCGCCGTTCGCGGCCACCGTCTTCTGCCACTGTCGGCCGCCTCCTTCCTTTTTCATAAAGGTTATGTATTCTAAATTTTATTTACCTTTAATTCTTATTTTTAGTATTTGATTTTTATTTTAAAAATGCATGTTACGATAAGTGTGTTCCCATTATTCTTAAATTGTTTAATATGATTTAGTTAATATGCTCAAATTGATTTATGTATATGTAATTTGATTTCAGTACATGTTATAATTTGATTTTAGTTAGTATCTCAAATTGATGCATGTGGAGTAATCTGATTTCGAAATATAATTTCATTTAGTTTATAATATTGCTTTAATTTTAGAATTGAAATATAATTTAGTTTTCGAAATACTTGTTTTCTGTACATGTTATTAAATTCATTTTGTATGCATGTTATTAATTAATATTATAAGCACACGTTTTTTCGAAATACATGTTATAAGCACACGTTTTTTCGAAATACATGTTAATATGTTGAGTTTATTACATGTTCTATATGCTCAATATAACATGATTTAGTTTGTATATATGTTTAATTGGCATGCCTATATTTGTTGTGTATAAGTTTAATTACATGTTCTATATGCTCAATATAATTGGCATGATTCAGTTTATTACATGTTCTATATGCTCAATATAACATGATTTAGTTTGTATATATGTTTAATTGGCATGCCTATATTTGTTGTGTATAAGTTTAATTAATATGTATGCCTAAATAAGATTTCATTGTAGGTTAAACATGCATGATTAAACATTATCTTTTTTAATTTCGGACTTATGAATTAAAGAACTTGAGTTAGTTTAATTAATATGTATGCCTAATTACATTATATTCCCAAATTAATTAAAGAAATACCCCCTCATGTTAAACCTCCAAAAACGTTTAACATGTTAATTATAAAATATTAAGTTAGACATTAAAAAATAGTTTTCTCAAATTTAATATAAAATATACACTACGAAAAAACACTGTTTAATAAATAAACCGTTTTAATTAAAAAGTTTTCCCGAAGTAATTAAAAAAAATACCCCCTCATGTCAAACTTCCAAAAAAGTTTAACATGTTAATAATTATAAAATATTAAGTTAGACATTAAAAAACAGTTTTCTCAAATTTAATATAAAATATACACTATGAAAAAGCACTGTTTAATAAATAAACCGTTTTAATTAAAAAGTTTTCCCGAAGTAATTAAAAAAATACCCCCTCATGTCAAACTTCCAAAAAAGTTTAACATGTTAATAATTATAAAATATTGAGGTAGACATAAAAAACAGTTCTTAAATTTAGTATAAAATGTAGACTATAAAAAGATAATGTTTAATAAATAAACTTTTTTAATTGTTTTAATTTAAAATTTTTAGTGAATTAATTAAAAAAATACCCCTCATGTCAAACTTCCAAAAAAGTTGGACATGTTAATTATAACATATTGAGTTAGACATTAATATAGAATATTCATTATACGAAAAAACTGTTTTTACACAAAACTGTTTTTATGTTTTTTATACAACTGTTTATAAAAAACTGTTTATAAAAAACTGTTTATAAAAAACTGTTTATAAAAAACTGTTTATAAGAAACTGTTTATAAGAAACTGTTTATAAGAAACTGCTTTATAAGAAACTGCTTTATAAAAAACTGCTTTATAAAAAACTGCTTTTTAAAAACTGCCTTTATTTAATTTCTTTTATATAAATTTAAATATGAAAACCTATTTAAGATTTCAATCAAAATTTGATCTTCTATTATATTTACACTATTATTTGAAAATGTAAATTAATACTCCTCATTAATCAATTATTTTAGATGAGCAATGAACAATCCACATCCCGTGCTCGCCCGAACTATGCGCCCTTAACCCAAGCCGAGCGCAACAATGAAGATTCGGAATGGGTGACACCTCACATGGTTGCTAAGTAAGTAACTATGAACTTTATCTAATGTCAAATAATTTTATCTAATGTCAAACAATCTAACTATAAAAAAATATTAATTTTTTGAAGCGATCAAGATGTGCTCAACCAAATCAAAATCATAATTGGTGGACACTTTCTTGGCAACTGGGCTACGTACACGGATGTTGACCCCAAGGTCCGTGAACTTTGGTGGAACTTGTTCAAGGTAAAAAAATGAATTTTTCATTATTGATGTAACCTAAAATTTGACAAATGATAAGTTAATTTATTTTTTTAATAAAGGTCCGGTTTCGCTGGACTGAAGAACAAGGCCCAGCTATTCTAAGGGCGTACAATGCCAGAGTTTCAAACTGGTTTCGTCCCACTTTTAAGCGTGCCCGAGCCAGTGGGGTAAGGCCTCAATGGTGTTCGGATGAGGTATGGGAAAACCTCGTCCGCCACTGGTCTTCGTATCCGACTTTCTTGGCTAGAAGCGAAGCCGGGAAGAAAAATCGGATTTCCGAGAAGGCATTGACGACACAATGGCACGGAGGCCGCAAACCTCAGAGTAAACATAAAGAAACTCTTGTAAGTCTTATTCAAATAAACCTACACCATTTTAACCTTTTATTTTTTTACATTTATTTAAACCTTTTTCGAACCTTGTAGGCGGGGCCTCAAAAGAAGAGGGTCTCTATCCTCAAGGTAATCAAACACTGTTGGACGAAGAACGGTGTTGAGTCGCAAGCCAATCTACCACCCCGCCTTACTGAAATCGAAGTATGTAACATCAATGTTATTATTTCAAATTGAAGTAAATATCATTTGAATAATTTTTTTAAATGTTTGTAGACAAAGTATAACGCAAATGTTGAAAAGAAGCGGGCGGAACTAGGCTTGACTCAAGAAGATGACATCGATTCTGATGTGGAAGATGATGCCATCCTTGAGGCAGCAGGGGTGTACAAGGGTCGGCTTCCGTGCCTCGGGGCTGAGGGGGAACGTATTTTGTACGATCGCAGCGGCAGCAGAGCTTCATCATCTTCTCGATCTAGGCGAGGAGAGGATCCACGCATTGCCCAATTGCAGCGAGAATTGGAGGAGCAACAACGGGCATTTGAACAGCAACGGAAGAATGATGAAGAAACGAGGGCCCGGCTGGAAGCAATGGAACAGATCCTTGCTGGATATCAGCCTCCGCCTCAGCCTCTTCCTCGGCCGTACATGATGCACGTTGAGCAGACTCCTCAGGTTCCGCACATGGGTAGTATGGGTCACCACTCTAACTCCGGTTATGGTGCCATGCCTGCAATAGGGTCGACATTCGGATCTCTGTCGTCTGATATGCTCAATCAGTTTCAGTCATCCGGTGGAGGCAACCGAGGAGGCAGCCGAGGAAGCAACCGAGGAAGCAACCGAGGAAGCAACCGAGGAGGCAATCGAGGAGGCAACCGAGGCAGCCGAGGAAGTTCCCGACCCTTGGACACCGTGAATGCAGAAGAGGATCATCATCGTGACTATGATGATAATGATGATGCATATGATTATGATGATTCTAATTTTTATCATAATGGAGTCCGACGTACGGGCATGTAATTACATAATATTGTTTGACATTGTATGGATTTTGTTTTTATAATTCTGTTGTAATAACATTTTTTATGTTTAAGATTGTATGGAATTTATTTTTATTCTAATTGCTTTAAAGTAAAATTAAAATAATTTTTTATTTTTTTATTTAAAATCGATTTTTTTTAAAATCAAAAACATTAGTCACAGACTAAATCCGTGACTACGTTTTAATCCGGAATAAATTCAATTTTCATTTTTTTTATTTTTTATTTAAAATCAATTTTTTAAAACAAAAAACAGTAGTCACGGACCAGATCCGTGACTACGTTTTATCCGGAATAAATTCAATTTTTTTAAAATTTAACATAGTCACGGAATATTGGCCGTGACTAGGTGTAGTCACGGATTAGTCACGGAACTCGATCCGTGACTACCATAAACAATAAAAAATTTAAATTAAATTTAGTCACGGCTCGTGTCCGTGACTAACATAAAAAATTTAAATTAGAAGTAGTCACGGATCCGGTCCGTGACTAACATGCCGGAGGGCTAATTCCGGTCAAGATGTAGTCACGGATCGAGTTCCGTGACTAATCCGTGACTACACCTAGTCACGGCCAATATTCCGTCACTACGTTCTAGTCACGCGGAATTAGTCACTGAACTAGTCACAGACAAAGTCCGTGACTAAATGTGTTAGTCACGGACTTTTTACACTACGGTCCGTGACTAAGTCCGTGACTACATGCAAATTTTTTTGTAGTGGCTTGACCATGGCAGAAATCGAGAGACATATTTACTGAAGCAATACTGAAGTTCAAGGAACCTGAAACTCCTCAAATTGAGTTATAGATATAAGTTACTACTTTCCCTGCTTCTCTTTGTAATGGAGTTTTGAGGATTGACTAACTAACCATAGCATCCTCGGGTTGGTAAGTGTGTTGTGAGAGCTTTGTTGTAAAGCTGAGGTGCTCTCTACTCGCAAGGTAGAGAAGCATAACTCTTCCTAGAGAGAATAGGGTTGGGGTGGCTCAAGGGTAGACTAGGAGAGTTTCTCTTGTAATTCAAAGACTTTTAGTGAAGTTGTTAAAATTCATCCGAGGGAGGTCGAGGGTTTTTAATCTCTTTTGAGCTAAGAGATTTTTCCTCGTTAAATCCTTGTGCACTTATTTACTTTGTCTCACCATTATACCCCACACTAGAACTTGCCGAAAATCTGTCACGGTTCCACACACACACAATTCACCCCTTATTGTGTTCCTAACCGTTTCATCGGTTCTCCCTTGCGCTCGCATCTTCTTTTCTAGCCTGATAAACAAATCAAGCAGCTATATTCAAAGGAAAGATAATTTAACCCTGCCAACTGTCCACCATATGAATGAGTTGGTGCAAATAAGATAAATAACATATACTTGGATCCGGAAATAGGTTGCATGTGAGGAATTTTTACATCAACCCCATGTAATTTCATTTCATTATGATGCCATTCATTTACATATATACAAAAACTCACAGTGTTAACGAAATCAGGACTCCAAAATCCTTCATTGCATTGGTTCCGTTCCTTGTCACAACCTGCCAAGTCATATTTGCATCAATAATATGTTAGGGAAATGAAAAAATTGTAACAATATATGACTAGTTTTTCCTTTTAAATTACATCACCACAATAGTTAGGGAAATGAAAAAACTATAACAATATACTCCTATCACTGTTATAATTTGTGAATTCCATTTACAATACGAATTTAAGAAAAAGTGAATATATAAACGAAGGTATGAACATATAGAGATGGCAGAGGAGTAATCGTTTTAAAATTTGGCAGCAATATACAACCACATTTGCTCGGTCCTAACAACGTGAATTGCTCTTTGAGGTAAATTTATTGTTGTATTGCCCATGTCTTCTCTAGAGCCTGTTGCAAAACATTTTAAACACCATAGTCTTGCAAGAAAAGGAATTACTAACCTTTTTAAAAATTAAGCTCAATCGCAAGGACACAACTTCTCCATGCATGTGTGGAATTACAATTCAGTTCAAGCCTCATCTATTCAAATTGTATATACGTAAGGGCTATATAGTAACAGACAATTAAAAGAAAACTAAGAACAATTATACACACACAATTAGAACACACCTGCTAAGCCTCTTCACCTTTGAAGTCGGATAAAACATTAGGTTTGTAACCGAAGAGCTCATAATTCTGGAATATTTGAAGTGAACCAAATGTAACATTTGCTGCTGTTACACGTCTTGCATAACCATTTCCAAAAATCTTAATCAAAATGTTATTCTATTGTCCCTCCGTGTGCAAAATTAGAAAAATTGAACCAATAATGAGACTAAGACTCATAAAACAACCTGATCGCAAACTATAGTGTCAACAAAGGTCAATAGAAGATGTATATCCATTTTCAATTCAGATAAATGAATAGAGCTACAATAAATATAGAACTGGTTTTTTTCTTTCATTAGAGATTTCAAAGCCTTGTAGCTGTAGGGGTAAAAATAAACCCACTTTTCCATCAGACCAGTCCACTGCTGAAGTTTCAAGGGCATGTCTGCGGCAGAGATCGTTTAGTGGCGTTCTTCTTCTGACCGTAAGATGCCTGAAAATTGGCTCATGTCATCAACCTGCTTCAGTGTACCGATGTATTTCTCTGTTCCAAATCAAAGGTGTGCACCATGTGCTGCCAAGTGCCAACTGATGCCTTTTCCGATGGAGCTATAAAATATAAATATCTTCTTTGAGCACGATAAGAACCTCGCGAGGTCTGCAGTGGCGCGTTGGCTCCCAGCCTGAAGCAAAGTGGTGTCCGATTAGCTTGTCGATGGTGTTGTTCTTGCTATGGCAAGTCGTTCGTGCTTGGCGTTATCAAGTGGAGGCATGCGGTGTCCTCCCAAGCTTGCTCCACTATTGCCGATGCCGGAGGACCGTAGATAACCCCTAGACGAAATCCGCATCCTCCGTCGGGCCAATTTCCCTTGGTAACAGTAAGGGTAGGGTTTCGACGTTTTCTTTCATTTTACCAATCAGAAAACTCTAGTACTTCTAAATATTGTTAGTGTCAATGAGTAGATCATTCTAGTTAATATAATTTCAAAAAAACGTAAACTTTTTCACGTCCACAAGTTGAAGCAAAAGACTAATTATTTGTGTCCACACATGTTAACGCAAAAACTTTGGACGCAAATAACATTTTTTGTTGTACGGGCTCATGTCATATCTGGAACTTACTATCCTACTTCTAATGTTTTCCTAGCCGTTGTTTGGAGAGTTAACATGTTTTGAATGAGAATGAAAAGCATCACAATGTTTTTATTAGAGAAATGATTGAAAAGATAGAAGTTAAAGTTGATAAGTAATGAGGTGATTGTGATTTGTTAATGTCAATTGGGGCCATATTTGATTTAAGGTTCAAAATGAAGTTGCTTGAGTTTGCTTTTAGGAAAATGTATGTTGAAATCTGATGCACATATGAATGTAGTCCGGGTAAGAAATGCATTAAATGAGTTATTCTTTGAGTATGCTCAAACTGAAAATGTGAGGACTAAAAAAGATGGATGTTCTATTGGATAAAGATATCTCTTCTTATTCTTCTACATGTTTTGGTTCTACTAGGAAAGTCATTCTCTCTGGTTTATTTATGTTTGACCAATACTTGAACACGCTTGGAAATGATATTTCTGAAAAGTCCGAGTTGGATATTTACTTGGAGGAAAGGGCTTTTAGATGTCAAGATGGTGATTCAACTTCTGAGTTTGATGCTTTATCTTGGTGAAAATATCATGAATTGAAGTTTAAAATTATGTCCAAGTTAGCTCATGATGTTTTAACTATTACAGTTAGCACAGTGGAATCAGAGACCACATTTAGTGTGGGCAAATGAGTCCTAGACCTTTATCGTGCTAGGTTGACACTAGATATGGTACAAGTTTTGATATGTGGGGCTGATTGAGTTCGTCTACCTCATGGGATTAAGAAGTCAATCATGATATATGTAAGTTACTTTTAAAGTTAAGTTTCTCATGTATACATTATTGTGGCAATAACTTTATATCTTCTTTTTGTAGAATGAAGAAGTTGTTGTTGAAGTCATATTGAGAGTATGATGGTTGGATGACAATGGATTTGGTACGACATTGTTTTGTTTTTGTTAAAATTGTGGATTGGTTTATAAATATGTGAATTGTTCTCTTATTCCTGTTTTGTGTCTTCTGTTTATGACATACCTTGTGCATCATTTTTGTGATTCTAGCTTATGTTTATAAATTCTGTAGCTGGACAAATTTTGTGAGGCTATGGTAGTTTTTGAGGCTGCGTTAAGCAATCATAACTTAGAGATGACAACCTTGCTCTAGTTATCCTTGGTTACCATTGTTTAATATCATTAACCAACAAACCTTTCTGTAAAAAAAACCAACAAACCTTGTGTGCAGATTTTTTTGTTCCATCTGAAGAGCAGGGCTCATTTTAAGCAGAAATTTTGCTATGATTTTATTATAGTTTAAGCACCTTATCAGTTCTCTTAGACTTGGTACTATTTGTATATCGTAATGCATGGAAAATTTCTATTATGTTTCTAAAACAATGCTACTTTTGCAATTGTAATTCTAAGTAAAATATAGTATTCACAAAAAATAGGGGAGAATAAGTAAATTATTTTCAGATACGAATATACGAAAGGACTGTGGTGTGAGAATGGGGGAGTGGGTGACGAACAAGGGCGGATGAGCATGCTTATTGGGAGTCACTTTATGGACTTCTCTTCGTCAAGTGGTGTGAATTGATGTCTAGTCTAAGCTGGGAGCGGAGGAGAAAACACAACTTCATGGTTTTGCCAAGTATTAACTAACTGATTTCTAGTCTAATATGGGAGCGACTTTCCAGAGACATGTGAATAATTTAATTGATTGGATATAATGTTTTGTTATCTTATGCAAGATGATGAGATGTGCAGATTTATAACTATTTTGTGGAGCATCTAGAAGGCCCGAAACGAAGTCGTTTGAAAATTTGCACTTTCAACTGGGCACAACGGTTGGTTGTTAGTGAGTCAATGCTGCAAGGCTGGAGGAAAGCTCAAGAGGCTAGCAAATGCAAGGCCAAGTCTAGTAAGAATGAGAGTTTTAGCAGAAGCCCACAAGGAAAGAAATAATAATCAATGCGGATGGTGCGCTGGATATCAGATGGGAAAAAAGAGCTAAAGGCTGGGTAACTCGTGATTTGTAAGGAATAAATTGTATTTAGATTTTGATGATGCTAAGCTAATTAGGATATTAGAGTACCCTTTTAGAAATCTTGTATGTTTTAGCATAG